CTCCTGCCACCCGCCACGGCCTCCCACGGCGGAGACGGCCACTGAGAAGCAAGAGGAGAGCTACGAGGCGATGGTGGAGGCGCAGGCGGCGGCGGCGGCGGCGGCGGAGTCGTGGTTGTGCCGCTGGAGAGAGAAGAGAGAGGAAAGGGGATAGAGATGATGAGAAGGAGATGGGGAGAGAGGAGAGAAAGGAGTGAGGATGACAGGTGGGGCCCACGTGGGTCCCACCATTTTTAAATTATTTTATGTGTGAAACTGACATGTGGGTCCCATGTGTTTTATTATTTTTCGGGAATGAATTGCCACGTAAGCGCCACGTCAGTGCCACATCAGATGAAGACCGAGTCAAATTAGCCACGCAGGCGCCACGTCAGCCAAAACCGCTGTCAAAACCACCGTGGGATCTCGTTTGTCCGGTTTTTATAAGTTGGGGGACGAGTTGTACCCGGTTTTGCGGTTCAGGGATGAAAGTCAGACTGGGTGTCAAATAGAGGGACCTAAAGTGAACTTATTCCAAAAGGATGGAATGGTCGCTCCCTTATTGGGCCCTTTGATAATAAAGCCCAGATAGAAAAAGTCCACTTTAGGTCCATTAACTATAGGTCAGTTTCATTAGCGTCTCTCAAACCGTGAAATCGGCTATAGAGCGTCTCTCAAACCGTGTTACAGTACCCTGATGGGTAGTTTAGAAATGAGTAAAATGCACTAGCGGTTCTTAAATTTGTCAGTAGGTTTTACTTAGGTCCACGAACTTACAAAGTGCACATCGAGGTCCCTAAACTTGGTTTATTGTATCATCTCGGTCCAAAGCCGCGTTTGACCGTGGTCTTGCCTACGTGGCACGCCACGTGAATGATGACATGGAATTTTTTTAATTTTTTTCTCCCTTCTTCCTTCTTTTTTCACCACTGCGACAACCCCTCCTCTCGTGCCTCCTCTCACCACCGAGAAAAAAGAAGGAAGAAAGAGAAAAAAGAAGGAAGAAGGGATAAAAAATAAAATAAAAAATTCCATGTCATTGTCCACGTGGCGTGCCACGTAGGCAAGACCACAGTCAAACGCGGCTTTGGACCGGGATGATACAATAAACCAAGTTTAGGGACCTCGATGTGCACATTGCAAGTTCGTGGACCTAAGTGAAACCTCCCGATAAGTTTAAGTACCGCTGGTGTATTTTACTTTTTAGAAATTTACTTTAACACCGTGGAAGGGTATTTTCGTTAATTCAGGTGCTCTCACGAAGGCAGAAGGGCTAGTGATTCGCTCGTTCCCGTTCGTTGCGCACGACGGCCGCCGCCCCTCCACGACGTCTGCCTTCGCCTTTCGCGAGGGATATGGAGTATATGATGGTATACCTGCTCCAGGGAATTGAAGGTCGCTTTGTTGAAATGTGTTCTTGAATCACTCAATTGCTATACTGCAAAACTATAATTACTGAATGAATCACTGATATTTAGCTAACGATGTGCTACTAATTTAATCCTTTTCGCATTTGCCTGCTGCTAATGCCGAAGCTATCGTTTATCTGCATGCAGCTACTTGAATATATAAAAATGCGCTTATGGGAGGGCAGGTAATCTGCTCTTGCTCGATCGAGTTGACGGACCAAGTACTGAGTTTGAGACTGAACTAGTACTGAAATAAGGTTATAAAAGAAAGCTCAACGACTCGCGGCCGGTTGCAAGCCCACTCTCGCTCTATTAGCGTCATTCTAATCAGTTATCCGAATCTACAATTGTATTTGACTGATCACAAAAAATAACTAACTACAATCAGATATGAGCTAAAACTGTACGTTAGTACTGTCTTGTCTGTCTTCTTAATCAGCTATTTCAATCTGCAATTTGACCGACAAAAACAACAACTGACCAACATCAGCATGGCTACGACGGTCTTGAAACCCTTCATCGATCGGTTTGATCACCTTCCGGCCTTGTCTTAGATGCTGATATGGATCATCCCCTTCAATCAGGTGTTGCATGCTAAACCTGACGGCTGACGCTACGGTTCAAACAGGTGTACTAGCTAGCAGAGTCCTTTGACAGGATCTCATCATCAGTATCAAATTGACGGCACTGCCATACGCGTCAAGTGCGGCGGCCTCCGTCGCGCACTCGCGACCAGCAACACTGCAGGTCTGCAGCACCTCGCCTCGCCTCGCCTCCCTTCTCCCTCTCGACTAGCTCTCGCATCTCATTTCTCGACAGAACGACTCGTCACCATCCCCGCGTCCTATAACCCTAGCGCTGCAGTTGTGAACCGATCGGGCATATTGACCTGTGGACCAGATTACGATCTTACCCCTAAGCCAATTGCAAATTCATCACAGTACCATCTACTACATTTCCAACATTACCCCTCCACGAATTATACTACATCTACTACCAGGTGTAGTAGGATTGAATCTAATCCATTAGATCGAATCAAATGGACATCTCACATTTGTTTTGAGGTACTTCAAAAAAAAATCCTAAAACTAGTGTAAATTAAGTTTCTCGGTGGCTTCATTCTAAGTGGCGTGTTGACCTAGTTTTCATCCGACATGACGCTTACAAGTAACTACAATCAGCGAAAACAATGAAGCCCACGTGGCTATGATAATTGTAAAAGAGACAATATATGGTCCCATCATAGAAAAATTCTCAGAGAATCAATCTAGATTTTGGGCCTGTTTAGATCCATTTGGAATGGCAAATGGTAAATGGCAAAAGTTTTGGTGGCAAAAGTTTTGGCATTGCAAAAGTACTAGTTGGTGTTTAGATGCATGTTAAAGTTTTGCCATTCTAGCACTAAAGTGAGAGAGAGAAAGAGAGAGGGAGTGATCTCAAAGCACTTTTTGGCACAATTTGCTACTATGAACTAACAAATGCCAAATGACAAATTGTCAACTTTTGCTACTAGTGTTTAGATTCAAAATGGCAAAACTTTTGCCATTTTGGAGGATCTAAACAGGGCCTTTATTAGTTGCTATGATTCATTTCCATTGACCGCAGATACTAGCAAATTTTCCTATGACTGGTATCAGCAAAGCAGTTTTGCAGGAGTCGGTTCACGTTGATTTCCTTCAGCGCACCCTATAGATGGCCAAAAGGCCCGCCCGGCACGGCCCGGCCCAGGCACGGCCCACCAGCCATCGGGCCGTGCTGGCCCATGGGCTGCGCCTCCCGCCCAGGAGCGGCCCACCAGCAGTTGGGCCGTGCCGGGCCGGCCCAAAGGCGTGGGTGGCCCATCGTGCCTTTTTTTAAATAAGTCTATTTTCCGTCCCTTCTCTTTGGGCTATGATATATATATATATATATATATATATATATATATATATATATATATATATATATATATATATATGTGTGTGTGTGTGTGTGTGTGTGTGTGTGTGTGTGTGTGTGTGTGTATATGTGTGTGTGTGTGTATATATATATATATGTGTATATATATAGCGAAAATAAGTCTATTTTTCATCCCTCCTCTTTGGGCTGTGACATATATATAGTGAAAATAGGTCTGTTTTCTGTCCCTCCTCTTTGGACTGACATATATATAGCTAAAATAAGTCTATTTTGCGTCCCTATTCTTTCAACCGTGGCAAATAATATGTTTATTTTTACTCCCTATTGTTTATGTGTCGGGCCTGGCCTGCGGCCCATCGTGCCGTGCTGGGCCGGTGGAGAGGCCCAGGCACAGCCCGGTGGTCGGGCCGGGTCGGCACGGGCCTGACCCCTGACGGGCCGTGCCGTGCTTGGGCCAGGCCAAAACGTCGTGCCGTGGGCCGGGCCATTGGGCCTCGGGCCTTTGGGCCATCTATAGCGCACCCTCTCTAGTGTCACTGTTAGGTGGTGCCACGGAGGGGTGTGACACAAACCACTAAGAGCTATTGTTTCCCAGCCACAAACATCCCTAGAAACCGCCCAAGAGAATATTGCAACAAGGCAATACAGAAAATGTTTTATTTTCGAAGGGGTTTTACTTTTCCACATAATCATTGTTTTTCTATCTACTACTCCCCCAAAAGTTAACATTTTGTACTTTCTGTTTTTAATAAATGATGTCGTTGACTTTTAGAAAATAACATTTGATCATTTGTCTTATTAAAAATTAGTTCTAATATGAGAACGGATAACTCATATTTAAAGTTTGTTTACAACAAAATGAATAACATTTATATTATATTTTTTGAATAATACAAAGGGTCAAACATCATACAAAAAATCAATGTTATCATCTATTAAAAACGGAGTGAGTATATGGATTTGGTTGTGTACACCCCCTTTTCCCCTTTTTTGCCAGATCATTTCATGAATTTTCATCCTTATGGTTGTTTAGTTCAAGACTCCTATTCATCCCTACGAACCTCTGCACCAGCTCCCTGCTTCTATCATCCAAGTTTCTCCTAAAATTTAGTTCCCACTCCCTCTCTATCACCATATCTTTCACGAACTTACCTTGTTGGTTACTGATGGTAGACAAACTAGGAAAGCTTGTTTTCAGAGAAGTCTGACCAGCCCATACATCTTCCCATAAGAGAGTACTTCCCCCATTATTTAGTTTCCTTTTACAAAACACACTTACCCACCTTTTAATTTTATAAGCAAGCTTTTTTCAGAACTAAATATGTCCATGAGGGACCTATACGTAATTACAGAAAACCAGAGGGCTTTTTCGTAAAAATACACCCGAGCACTGTACAACTATAGCAAATCGCTGACGCGCCCCATCGTCCGCCCTTTCTGCACCCCTTAATTTTCCCCAATTGGGATGCACCCTGGACACTATGGGAAAAAAAGAATTGGGATGCACCCTGGACGGTACTCAGGAAAAAAAACCTCTCTCCAATGAACTTGTTTCTCAGGAGTCAGGACCTCTAAGCACACACTTTGCGTCTCAAAGTTACATCTATCGTGTGCCAACTTCTGGATCCAAGGCCAATTAACTGAGTGTTGATTGCTGACCGTCATTGTCTTATTTCACAACAAGCGGATGTATAGAAACGTAGGAGTAACACAGAGTAGAAACAGGTACAACAGTGGCTCAGTGCATATAGTGAACTGTCATGCTGTGGTACAAAACTGACATTTTACAGTGATTGAGACAAAATTTCACCTCTCACTTCCAAAAGAAGGAAAGAAAGAAAGACAGCCCTGTGCCCCTGTGCACGTCTGGCACCAACACCTAGCTGGTAATCTAGTATACTCAATTACTACTATGCTGTACAAGTGAATGCCGGAGTACAAGTAAAGTTAAAATCTCAAGTGAATGCCTACATGTCTATGCTGTACAAGTTTTCACACAGTAACTTCCCACATGGACACGATCGATTGCAGACCGACCCTACCATAACCGCAGCGGAAGTGGGGGAACCCAAAAAGCTTCCCATAGCTGTTTTGATAGACAAGATGGCCAATGCTGTTGTGCTTCATCCGCTCAAGTTCAAAATCACAAGTATCAATCGCTGCTAAGTGGTTGTCGAGCAGGACATCACCAGCAGGATCACCAAAACCAACGAACATGACCGCATGGGACCAGGTTACTCCATCCCTGACAATTGGGCGTGCATAATCGTAGTGGTACACCTCTCCTTCAGCGAGCTCGAAATAATTACAAGAAACTTTGAAAGAACCCACAAGCATTCTTCCTTGAAGCAAACGCTCAAATATTTGTTCAAAGCCCTCTGCCTCAATGTCTATGCGCCTGAACGATGATATCCTTATCTGCTCCATCTATAGATGCCAGGATAAGTTAGATTAACAATTTTTTCACAAGATTCGAATACTTTCTATCTCAGCTGTATCATGTTAAAACTTAAAAGTTAAAACACATGATAAGCATTCATTGTCTATAAGACCATAAAAAGGTAGTAAGAACTGCTCTTCGATCCTAAAAGATTCTCTTGGGAGCATTAGAAAAATTTTAAGCTCTGCAAAAGCTCATGTTCACTTGAGAGCAGCACAACATTAGACAATGAAGAAACAACCTTACTTTCTTATGAAAGCCATTACTTGAGAGCAGCACAGCATTAGACAACTGAAAGCCATTATTTTTTAACACAAGAAAATAAAAGGAACAATCTTACCTTCTTATCATTATCACATCCATCAATGCCTCTGACACCACGCTTTTTCAGAGTTTGTAGAGCTTTTTCAAGCCGTATCTGTCCCCTTTCCCCTCTCAATTCGTCTCCATATGTATATCCAGTTTCCTCCTTGTACTGAAGGAGCATGTCTTGTATGTCAAGAATAACATTAAAATCTGTAGGCGGGTCATGTGAGGCACAAATCAATTTGTACAAGCTTTCCGTCGTTGCCATGGAAGAATGTAGTACACATGTTACTGCTGTTAAATGGGAGAAAAATGAATTAATGAAATTGCAGTCAGTGCCACAATTTTTAAGGAAATGACAGGCACTTCGCAAATACCTTTTGGTCCCTGATCACGAATAGGTGCTAAAATGTACTTTCTGTTGTGAGGTCTTGCTATCCAAGTAAACTCTGGTTTTAGTACCTGCAAAATATTTTCCAACTTTGAATTATCTCCTTGAACGTAAGAGTTTAGGTATCAATCTGCAACCAATTTAGATGGTACTAGAGGAGAAAATTGGTCAAAATTGAAACGGTTGCTTGGACAAGTATGAATCAACCAATTCCATTTATGTACTACAAGCAACCCAATAGATTTTTCATTCAGAAAGAGCCAAGGGGTTAATCAAATATATCCAGGGAAAAACTTTACTGTAACTACAAATATATCCTTAATTAATTGCTTAATGATGTGCTAGAGAGTGCCATAGGGTTGCTTGTGAGGGCTCACACCACCCTGGCTAATGTTTAGAGGGCATGATATCAACTTTGAGAACAAGCTGAGACCAGGATTTGGGTAGATAACCAAATCAAAACGTAGGTGCCTAGTAAATTTTCAACCAGGAGAACTACAAAATAACTTGACCACAACTGACCCTTCCAATTTCATGGACCCTACTTTGGATTAGAACATATATGGGACTAGAACTGAGAAATTAATCACTGCCTGGCACACTAGCAAACCCAAGTGCCTGATCTTGCTTTCACTTGCAGCTAGTTTTCCCCTTTAGAATCCCTAGTAGAAATACTGTAATTTTGAGCATTTGACTACTCATGGCACAAAAGCACAATAGGAAGCTCTACTTGTCTATTAGCATAGATGTATGCAAGGCTGCTCACTTTTGATTTGCTAGACACTCTTCTTCCATGCTGCCCAGTAATATATTGATCAAGCAACAGATGTTGATTGAATCCAAGGTCCAGTAATCTCTGAAAAAGAGAAACACCGAATGCATCTTGTTGATAGACCTACAAATTGCAAACGTGTTACACAGATTATAAACATGGTTAATATTCTATTCACATTTTTTGTTGAAACAAAAATATATGCATATGATATTACCTGGTTTCCTACTGTAGGCTTCTTTGCCTCATCTCCAGCAAGAATAATAGAATGTAGCGAGGGTAGACACAATGGGACAAGGGTTTCATACTCATTGAAAAGATTCGCAGAATCAATTATAAGACAATCAATCTTGAGCTGAATTTCCCTCAAATGAAACGAATTGTTTGTTGAACAGAATATAATGCTGGAGTTCTTCATACAGAACTCCTCAAGATCCTCTCTAGTCTTGAAGGTCGGCAAATCAATTGATTGGAGATCTTCTTTAAACTTTCTCAGCAGTTGTGCACATTTCATTCGCTTATCATTTAACTCTTCAGCAATACCACAATCTCCAGTATCAAACGTTTGCACAGCCTCAACTTCAAATGCTTTCCTCATGCTGCCATCACTAAGGTTACGATTTCCTAGCAAATCCTCTATTTCGTCCAAGACCTTTATCATCTCTGTTGTGCTCTCGTTATGCAAACATAACTTTGGGAGCCATATCTTTTAGACTCCTAAGGCATTCTTTGAGTTGCTTGGAAGCTAAGATAAACTCCTTTTTGAACATATCCAAAAAGGAGATCTCTCTTCTTTTTCTAAAAACCTTATACTTTGGTCCGAATTTATCTAGTATATCAAGTGCCATATTGATGAAAAATTTCCACCCAGGAAATCCAAAACACATATTTGTGTCATCAAAGTAACTCTCTAGTGTTAAATGTCCAAACTCAGGTCCTATGTCAGATTTCCGCTCAAGTACAATAGTCTTCTTGCAGAAGTTGTCAAATTGATTGTGTTTTCCACCAAGATATTGTATCTCATGGAGAAGATCAGTGATCACAAATAGAGAGGGAGCATAGACAACACACTGAAACTTAGATGTCAATGATAGTAACAGAGCTGATAATAACCGTGTCTTTCCTGTCCTAGGGGATCCTTTGATGAGCTCAACAGTATGTTCAAAGTGCCTACATGATGAGAGCGATGTTGTAATACCTTTGAATGCTTTCAATTGATATTCATCAAGATTATCTCTGAAGTTAGGATTAGGAACATCAAAATTGGAAGATGACTTCTCTTATGTACATTTATCGAACACCTACAAATAGAAGAAGTTAAAAAACAATAAAAGTTGAAGAACAATTGTTTTGAAAGGCTCATGACTAGAAAATTACCACAAGAGGAGCTTGTAGAATAGAGTTGATTATGCATTGACATTTGTTGTCAATATCCTGATGTATTGATGACCAAAATTCAACTTGTCCTTGAATATTTATGTCCAACAGAGCTGCATAGTTAATCACCAAATCAACTGGCCTGCTCTTTCTTATGATCTGAACTTTAAATGCACTTCGAAAATATTCATCCTCATCTTCTACTGCTACTGCAAAGAAACACCCTTTTGGTTTCTTTGAATATGGTGACGTTGGATCAAGCAATATCAAATCACCTCGTCTAATTGTATGGCATCTGTTCTTGTAGCAATCCGTAGGAATATGGACAATGTCAAGCAAATAATATGGAAATTGCACCTCACTTATTAATTTGACATCATGCCAATTCGCTGTTCCAAGAAGCTGAAGAGGCATTTTCAGTTGTGCTGTTGTTAATGCAACTGGCCTCAATACATAGTGACTCAAAATAATTGTCATTCGATACAAAAGTAGTCTGAGCCTGTGTAGAATACATAATTTTAATAAGATTTTATTGTATAATGTAGTTTGTGAATTTTTCTCTGGAAGCTTCACCCCTTCAGTATTGCTATCGTTATTTACATATACATGAGTAGATGGGCCTCTAGCTGATGGGCCAGCACACAAACACACACACACACACACTATTCTATTTACAGCCCAACACTCCCCCTCAAGATGGGTGATAGATATCTATCATACCCATCTTGTCACACGAACGATTACACTCTTTAACACCTAAACCCTTTGTTAAACAATCAGCAACTTGTCCACTAGACGTTACAAATTCTAATTCCAAAACTCCCTCATCCAGTTTTTCCTTGATAAAGAAACGATCCAACTCCACATGCTTTGTTCGATCATGCTGAACTGGGTTGTTAGCAATGTTGATTGCTGACTTGTTGTCACACCACAATTTCATGGGAGTATCCACCGACAACTTTAACTCAGAAAGAAGATTCCTTAGCCATAACAACTCACTCAAACTCACTGACATTGCCCGATATTCTGCCTCAGCAGTTGAGCGAGACACCACCGGTTGCTTCTTGCTCCTCCAAGATACTAAATTGCCACCAACAAACACACAATAGCCTGAAGTTGATCTTCTATCATCAGGACAACTTGCCCAATCTGCATCACAATAGCCTTCAACCTCCAAGTGTCCATTTTTCTTAAACCATAGGCCTTTACCTGGGCTTCCCTTCAAATATCTCAAGATCCTATAGACCGCATCCATATGACCACTCCTTGGATCATGCATATATCGACTCACCATACTGACAGCATAAGTTATGTCAGGTCGTGTATGACACAAATATATCAGTCTTCCCACCAATCTTTGGTATCTTTCCTTATTCACTGGATTTCCAGACTCTGCACATAATTTATGATTTTGATCAATTGGTGTAGAGGCTGGGCGACATCCAAGCATACCTGTGTCACTGAGCAAATCCAATGCATATTTCCGTTGTGACAGAACTATCCCTCTAGGAGATCTTGCAATTTCAATACCCAGAAAATATTTCAACTGGCCTAGGTCCTTAACTTCAAATTCTTTGCTTAGATTCTGTTTCAACCTAGTTATCTCCAAGCAATCATTCCCAGTGATAATCATATCATCAACATAGACAGCAAGGATGGTTATATGATCTCCACTATGATGATAAAAAACTGTATGATCTCCATTACATTGCTTATAGTCCATAGCACACATTGCACGCCTAAACCGATCAAATCATGCTCTTGGTGATTGTTTAAGACCATACAAAGATTTCTTCAATCTCAGCACCTTTCCTTCAGTTTGTGAAGTAGCAAATCCCGGTGGGATATCCATATACACCTCTTCTTGAAGATCTCCATGTAAAAATGCATTCTTGACATCTAGCTGATGCAATGGCCAATCAAAATTAGCTGCACAAGATATGAGAGTTCTTACCGTGCTCATCTTTGCTACTGGTGCAAAAGTTTCATCATAATCAATTCCATATGTTTGACTATATCCCTTAGCCACCAGCCTTGCTTTGTATCTTTCCACCTTTCCATTAGGATTTTGCTTTACTGTATAAACCCACTTACAGTTGACAACTTTCTTTCCTTCAGGAAATGGTACAAGATCCCATGTTTTGTTCTTTTCAAGAGCCTCTAGTTCATCTAACATAGCTTGATGCCACCTTGGATCTTGCTTTGCTTCTCTCCAATCCTTTGGGATTTCCATTGAATCTAGTGATGCTACAAAGGCTTTATATGTGGATGACAAGGAGTCATAGGAAACAAAGTTGGATATATTATTTTCTTCATCACCCTCATCTTGATCTTCAAAACCATACCTTAGTGGAGGTTTACCTGCATTGCTTCTCACACTCTTTCTGACAGCAATTGGTAAGTCAGATTCTTCTCTAACTTCCTCTTCTTCTCCTCCTGACTACAAAGACCCTTGCTCATGACTTACATCTTTCTCTACCTGATTATCCTCTTCAACTTGTTGGATTACTGGACACCTTGTTCTCCTTGTGTATACTTGAAGATTTTCCTCTTCATGTGGCTTCCTCCATTCTTGCTCCTGTGCAACAGGACCACCCATAGGACATGGAATTGAACCAACCACAAACTTTTCCTTCTTTGATTGTTCATCTCCCTTTGGACCCAATATTTCACCTTCCATCTGTTGACCATCATGACCACTAGTTGAATTATCAAGATCAACGAATAAAGAACTTAAATCTGTTTTCTCACCGTAGAATGGGACAGATTCTCTAAAAGTAACATCCATACTAACAAAGGTTCGTCGTTCTGATGGACTCCAACACTTATACCCCTTCTGGCCAGATGGATAGCCTATAAAGATGCATTTGACAGCCCGAGGATCAAGTTTTCCAACGGAAGGTCTATGATCTCTAACAAAACAAGTGCAACCAAACACTTTTGGTGGAACAACAAATTCATTCTTTCCAAATATCATCTCACATGGTGTCTGCATTCCAAGTATCCTTGATGGCGTGCGGTTGATAAGATAAGTTGCTGTCATTACTGCCTCACTCCATAAGAATTTAGGTACATTCATAGCATACATCAATGAGCGAGCTGTCTCCAAAAGATGACGGTTTTTTCTCTCAGCCACCCCATTTTGTGGAGGAGTATCAGGACAAGAAGTTTGATGCAATATTCCTTCTGATGAAAGAAAGCTACTAAATTCATTGTTTATATACTCCCCGCCATTATCAGTTCTAATAAACTGAACTCGAGCATTAAAATGATTTTTAATGTATGCATAGAAATTCTGGAAGCATTTAAACACCTCATCCTTATGCCTCATAAGATATAACCATGTCATGCGAGAGTAGCAATCAATAAAGGTAACAAAATACTTCATTCCACTCATAGAGACCATAGGTGAAGTCCAAACATCTGAGTGAATTAGCATAAATGGTAACATACTTCGGAGTCCTCTACTCACATATGATGTTCTTGTATGTTTTCCATACTCACATGCATCACATACTAACTTATGTTTATCCACTCTACTTAGTTCTGCTGGAAACATCTTACTCATAGTTTCAAAAGATATATGCCCCAATCGACAATGCAAAAGTAATACCTTAGCCTCTTCTTTACTTGTAGAAGCCATCAATGCAAGACATACATCTTCACTTGTCTCCTTTCGATCCAAATACCAAAGTCCATCACGCCTGACGCCAGTCCCAAGTTTCTTCCCTGTTTGCCTCTCCTGAATTAAACAATTCTCACGATCAAGGGATACCCGACAATCCATACGATCAACAAGAGAACTTATTGAAATCAAATTCACTGGAAAAGAAGGGACATATAACACTGATGATAAAGTGATTGAAGGAGTACATTGTACTGTTCCCTCTCCCTTAACTGGGCATGATGTTCCATCAGCAGTTTCAATTGTTTCTTTTCGTGTAAATGGGTATGGTTTATATGATGCAAATTCTCCACACATACCCGTGACATGTCTGGATGCACCCGAGTCAAGTATCCAATTTGAATGAGAACTATTGATTGACATAAATGCTTGGTTTGAGTTACCTGAGATAGAATGAACAAGGTTGGCAACATCAACATTTGTAGGTCCAGAACAACCCTCTTCAAGAGTGACCACATTAGCTCTGTGATCACCTCTATACTCATAGCCTCTACCTCTGTTAGCTCTACCTGCATAACCTCTTCCACCTCTTGCTCCACCTCTATCACCACTTCTTCCTCTTCCATAACTAGGCTTGCAAGGAGCACGACAATCACGCATGAGATGCCCCATTTCACCACAATTAAAACACTCTCTAGTCTCTTTACCTTGTAGCATTGCATAGGTGGGACTTGATGAAGGTGGTGTAGCCTTAGGCAATACTTTCCTCTTAAGCTCATCTTGAGCCATAGCTGCTATAGCCTCATCCAAGGTAGGAAGAGTAGTCTGATGGAACATAGCATCTTTTCTCCCTTCAAACTCTGGATTTAGGCCTTTCAAGAATTCAATAACCCTTCTGCGCTCAATCCATTTCCTCATTTTTGCTATACAATCGGGGTGCTCTAACCCAAGAGGATCATAATGATCCAAATCAGACCATAGATGCTTCAATTCTGCAACATATTCTGCAATAGAACGCTCCCCCTGTCTCAAAGCACTTATCTTCTCCTGTGCCTCCACCATTAGCATCACATTTCCTTCTCCTGAGTAGAGATTAGTGAGAGTTTTCCACATCTCACTTGCACTTGAGATGGTCTCAACAGTTGTAGCAATAGCAGGGATAAGTGAAGTCAACAACCATGCTACTACTAAAGAGTTGGTAGTGCTCCAAGTCCTCCATTCTGCACTAGCACTCTCAGGCTCCTTCACTTCTCCGGTGACATATCCTTCTAATCCCTTAGTCTTCAAAATCAACAATGCTCTCCTTGACCAACTTAAATAATTTTTGACACCCTCCAACTTAATATCATTTTGCATCAACTCAATTTTTTGCATTGTTTCAGTATGAGGAATCACTGCATTACTTGTAGTTGGGGCCTCACTAAATTTCTTTGCAAGCATGTCCACCAATTTACCCATCACTTGTTCAAGTCCCTGATTTTCCCCCATTTTAATCAAGCAGCACTCAACTAACTGCTGTAACAAAGCAAACTCTCCTTGTCTACACTCCACCAGCAGCACTAACAACAAGCCAACAATTCCTCTACCCTGTATTTTCTTCCCAGTAAATCAGTAGTAGCAGCAAGAACAATCTCGATTACCTCAATCTTGAAGAAGAACAACAGTAACAACAGTCACTAGTGCTTCTTCCCTCAACCACAAGCCACAGTACAGAGTCCACCACCAGCCAACAAGCAGAAGCACGGCTGGGAACCAACTCAACAAGCAGAAGCACTGCCGGGGAACCCACTTGTAGCTGCTGCCCCTCCAGACCTCCCTGCTCAGCTCACGCACCTGCTGTGTGTTGCCGTCACCGCCGCTCGCTGCAGCAGCCGTGAGCGTCCTGACCTGCTGCGCCTCCAGTCCACTCCTACTTGTCCCTGCTCACCGTCCTACACCACCACCAAGAACTCCAACCTCAGCGCTTGCTCCCTCAGCTAGGGTTCGTCGCCGCCGGCCGCCAGGAGCACGGCTCTGATACCATGTAGTTTGTGAATTTTTCTCTGGAAGCTTCACCCCTTCAGTATTGCTATCGTTATTTACATATACATGAGTAGATGGGCCTCTAGCTGATGGGCCAGCACACAAACACACACACACACTATTCTATTTACAGCCCAACATATAACATACCTCAAATCATCGAATTAGGCTAAAGATTCAAGGAGGATGAAATAATATTCAGTAACATAAATAGGAAGGAGCAGGGATCCAAGCAAAATCACCTTCTTTATCACAGGTGGCGCCTTCAAGATGTCTCGCACTGACCAGGACATCATCCGGTCAATCAAGAACTCCAGGTTGTGGTCAATCCTGCCATGCCGGTGATGGCAGCCAGTGACGAGCTCCTCATCACAGCCATCCCCACCCAAATTGTCACTGTTGTTCCCGCCCCCACAAACCTCATGCTCCAGGCTATGGTTGGTCCTGCCATTGCAGCAGCTGCCAAGCTCCTCATTGATGTCAGTTGTGTTTTGACATTGTCTTCCGTACCCTGATGGAGGATTTTGATCAAATATTGAAGTGAGTTCAGGGAGAACATACAATGCAGCAATGCTTAAAAGGGTTGAAGCAATACCAAGCAGACGTGGGGCTTCTTCATGAGTATCAGCATGCAGTAAAGTTCTTGGCCAATCTAATCGATTGACATAGAACGAGGATACCATCTGAAATTATAAAAGGAAAAGGTGTAAACATGTGAAGAAAGCATAATTTGTTTTAACAGACAACATAGAACAAATAACATAGAGCAGAAACCTTTGGTTGACGAGAGGAAATATCAACCAATGACTTCAAAGCCAATGTATGAAGTTCACTAGACCCATCATATGACATGGCATGTTCTAAAAGCACACACATTTTTGCTAGTGTAGAATTAGATAGATCTTCTTGAAGAAAATCTGAGCCATCATGTGTGTTAAAGCACTTCATCAGAAACTTTATCATTGCAAGAAATGTGTCTGTTGGGAAAAGCAGTTTTCCATTCCTCTGCTCATAGCAATGCAGCAGCTGAGGCTGTTGGCTGTAAATATAATTCACCATTTCCGCAATATCAGGATAGCTTATATCCGTGGCCATTGTAGATGACTGCCTTTCATCATTTAACAGATTTAGACCTGCTAGAGCCATTTCCCTGGGGACAGCATAATCACATAGTTTATTTTTTATATATTAAAAAAAAGCTAAATGAAACCAACAGCAAAGAAAACATGATGTAAACAATTCAGCATAACATTTATCATCTTTTCTAACAAACCTTATATCTAGCTTCACATCTGAAGCACCAAGCATGCAAATGTATCGGCTTGGGCAGTGCTTCATATTGTATAACGTCACTGCCCATCTTACAGCAGAAAACCGGACCTCACTTTGCTCCTTGAAGAAAAGTTAGGATAAGAAATGTAAAATCAGAAAAGTATGCAAAACTAAACAGATAAAAAGTTGTATTCCTCAAACAGTAGGGTTTCAACTACTCATTATTAATTAGAAGAAATAGTTATATTCAAATAAAAATTCTCATTATTAATGTTCCATCTTTTTGAATTATTACTTTCACGTACATCCAACTGAGTCTGAGGAAAAAAATTAAAAGTAATGCCTACAAATACAACAATAGATAGGAAAACTTTCCATTTTGGTGAAGACTGTGGGTTCTCGAGTATTTAAGAATCTACATTGAACAGAACACCAAACTTTACCGCTTGACAATATTCCAGAAGAAGTGCCTCAAAATCCTTCAGTACTATATTCGAAGCACCCTGGTATCAAGGCCAAGAAATGGTAAACAAAAATCACGAAAATATCTCCAGAAAAAGTGGAGTAACATAACAAACATATGAAACACGCTGAAGACATTATGGAGTAACACAAAAAAGCAATAAATATATATGCAAGTCACAAGTAAGCGAAACCCAAAATGTCAAAAAATATTTCTTGTTTCTGCCCTGCGTGTCGAATAGTCTCTAATGGTTACCTTTATAGTTATAGATCAGACACCAAGAATATCTCAACTAACGACTATCTCATGATTAAATTTATCTCTTAACCAAACCTAAGAATATGTCTGCTGATCTATGTCAGCAAGCTGAACTGCTAGTCTCATCCCTCAACTGCTAGCCAATCACTGCGTGTACCTAGCTGCCACTATTCCATAGTCCACAAAGCCCATCCTTACACCCTCAGTCCATGGAACATGGAGCACTATCTTTCTACTTCCTTCCTGGCTCTTCCTCAGCCCACAGCATAACTGTTAGTACACTGCAGGCATTACTAAATTTGCTCTCAGGAGATGAAATAGATGCACTCTGTTATAATTAGAACTAATAACACTTTCAACTATTAACTATTTCAAGTCACATGCAAGTGATTTGAGCATCTGCCTAGCCAGAACTTGGAGGTCATATGTGTGTGTGTGTGTGAATGTATGGGGTTAGTTCATGTTGGTCGTAAAAGGCATGAAATTGGCTTGTGTGTATTTTAAACAACTCCCTGGCTAATCCAATTGCAGAAAACGAGGACAGAAGCTTAAAAGTTGCCATGGCCCATGTGCTTGATTTAATCCTGCTAGTGTGTAGATTGTAGCATGTATGGACCATGGGGCGTCAGAATCCGTTCATATGCTTCATCAACAATATACTAATAGTTTGTATTGCATCAAGTCATCACCCATCGCCAACAAAAAAAAAAATTCACTATTCAAAATTACGAGACATGTCAGGACAGCAGTACAGCACCCTTTAGGGAAATTAATAACCTTGAACTGCAATTCACAATCATCTTTGCCAACATTTTTAACAGATCAGGACAACAGGAGAGTACCCTTTTGGAGAAATTAGCATATCATCCACAATACCTTATATGCTGTAGCAAGGGCAGTAGCCGCCTCCTGAATTATTGAACGAAGAGATTGCTCCTCCAATCTTAAAGCAGTAAACAGCCGTATAGCCATGCCAGTTTTGTTGCTGCAATGATCATAACAAGTAGAAAAATTCAGTCTCCACTACAGAAATGAAGCATGAATTGAGAAAGCAGAAGAGTAAGAAAAGCGCATACCAGAATAAATTAGGCATGCGAAAGGCAAGCAAACCAATGGCCTGGTATGCAAATATTCTGATATCCCTACTGGAAGAATCTGGACATGAAGGAAATCAATAAATCATTCACTGTTTTCTAAACTTATTTGACATGGCAAAATGGGAAGTCAACAAGTAATGTAAACGAAAAGAGTGCCAAGATAAACCACATGCACGTCTTAACAAGTAGAGTCGATGAAATGTAAAACCTGCTTCTGTAGTGGAAGAACCATCAAGTGAATGTAATATTCCACTGAGAATAAATGGACTGATTGCCTTTAGCTGTTTGTTTGTTGCCTAAATCAATAAGGAAACAGTGATAATTGATAAAAGTTTGAGACCATGAAAAAAGGTTGACAGAAAGGGAGAACTGCCAAGAGTGAAAAAAAAAACTAAATTTGGAATGGCACAAGCAATTAATGCTAGAAGCTACAGCAATCAATATATGGTGAAAACAAAGGAAGTGCACCTACATGTTTGAAAACCCAGACGGTGAACTCCATCCCTAACTGCTTCAATCTTGAAGTGGTTCCATTTCCTGCAGGTATGTAAACACAGGAGGTAGAAATGAGAATTTACCAACAATGCATAGCATGAGCAACATAACAGATAAAATTTCAGATGGGATGAGAGTTGATGATAGATTCACAAAAATACCACTTAGAACTATCAAATATCAGAGAATTTGTGTTCCATATAATAGAAAATAGACACTTAAAAGGAACTGATGTGTTTATCTTGCAATTCCCTCTTTAAGGAAGTGATGCATATATGTGTTATGGGCTGCACCATTGATTTGGGTAAGGATTATTAGTTTCTACATTAGATGCTTCATTGAAGTTGATTGCTATAATCTTCAAGGTTTGCTTTTTAATTAGTTTCTTTCATTTGGGTTCGAGCACCTCTACATAAGGAGGCCACTATTATGATATTAACAATACCATTGAGTCATTGAGTGAGAAAAAAATGTCAATCAAGTTCTTCCTCAATGTTCTTCAACCCAGATTCCCTGTCTGTCTACCTCTCATCCCTGGGAGCCACTGCCATCTTGCAATCCTCCTGATGGTGTTCATCCTCCATGAACCCTAGCCCATCCCTTTGAGCTCTCTTACTTGTGCCAAATATCAATTTCTAGGCCGATGCTTGATCGGTTATCATTTTCTTATAATGTATATTGTACATTGTTGATATTAGCAATTTTCCAGAAGGTCATACTCTACTGTACTGTTGCTAGCTTTCCATAAAACTCTAGAAGATGCTTAAAAGAAAAACTATTGAATATAAAATGACAAACATAGTCAATTTCTCTGTCCTACTTAAAGATGCAGCCCATTGATGATATAATAATCAAAACTAGGATAAAAATACATTCGTTAATGTCATGACGACGAATAAGGTAAATAAAATATATAAAAACAGAATACCATAGATGCAACCAAAAATGCACTGAAATGTGTGTGTGAACGCGTTTGCTGCAGCAATCGATCGGCAGAAAACACCCATAAGGCGGACTCGCAATGAACTATGTGCTGGGGCAACTTCCAACTCTGAAGCTATATTTTCTGAGCTTGCAGTACCTGCGGCACCAGAGAAAAATATCATATACCAATTACCAAACCAAACCACAAATATTTAGATTGGTACTGATAAAAACAAGCAAAAGATTTTGACAAAACAAGTACTGACAATCTGACATCTAAAAGCGAAAAAGAAAAGAGAAGCATGTGCACATGTCGGTATATGAGAGTGCAATGTGAAAATGCAGGGCCTGTTAACATACAAAATCATTTACAAAATATAAGGCTTAGTTTGGATGAGAACAAGGATTAAGAAGGGTATGAAAACAAGAGAAGAAGAGGAGGACATGACCTTGTATGTTGAAAATATGAGACCATTAGTTATAATTGTAAGGTGATAGAGAAGATAGCGTAAAAAAGGATCACTAAATTATCATGCATGCTTTATATTTTAAATGAAACTTGTTGGACGATAGACACCTATATCCCCTATGGCATCGGGAGTAGGCTAGACGAAATATGTTCATGGAATATACACGTGAAATGTACCTAACTTGCCCTAGTTAGGGCTATGAGAATGAGGGCATAGTCACCTCAGCAAAGGAAAAAAAAAATGTCTCAGGTTGCCAACCTCGAGGACAGAATAACTTATGCCACACAACAAAAATGATAATACATAAGAACAAAGTGACAGTTAAATACTGAAATAAAATTGATTGAATTAGAATCCTCCAAATTATGCATACCATTGAATAGTGTGAACAATCTCTTGATAAGGTCGGAATCTTCTAAATTCACAGCTGAAGCTTTGAGTATTAGCATTTCCTCTCCTCTCTTAGCAACTGCCTCTTGACTTCATGAAACAGGGATCCGCATGATTGTTGATCCATACAAACATTTTAGCAGATTGAATCTTTCTTTTTAAAAAAAAAGTACCTATCTGAAGCAGCCGCTAAATAAAGAGGGTAGACGATCTCTAGTTTGAACTGCATAGTTTCAATGACATCCAAGATTCCTAACTGAAGATATTGCAAGTGAGGTTCAACTGTAAGAAGCTGCTGGTACTACAGTACTACACTCAAGACTAAAATAGAAAAATGTGTGAAGACTTATGCTGACATGATTGTACACACAGGCATAACATGAATATGGGATACCTAATGTGAAACACATGCATTTATTTATTACCTTTCTTGATGCAAGTGTATCGCCTTTTAGTGGCAAATTTCCAGTAACACGATCCGATTGAGCAACTGAAAGCCCTGCCGAGCATCTGATACTGAAGATTGATATATGTCAACTCTCCATAATAAATAAAAAATGTTTCATACTTATACCAAGTTTAGCAAGGAAACCAACCCCTGAGGTGGTGTTTGATACAGTATCATGTGCAGACAGAAATCAGCAAAGACTAGGCCATCATTAGATGCGCTTATGGATTTGTACTTTGAAGCAACAGTCTGATCCACCTTATGTGTATCCCATTCACCAATAGCCTGGCAACAATTTAAAAAAAAAAGAAAACTAGCAAGTTTTTTAGGATGAAGATACGTCAGAACAAGAAAAGGAAACCACGGATAACTTATCGAAGATCATTGTAGACTTGACTAAAAGTGCAGTAAATTCAATGCCATCGGTCTGATGATAGAAAATAAGCTGACAATGATTCTTATTCCAGAGAAAAAATGCAATTCTGTTAAGATAAGGTATTGAACAATATTTGCATGTACAACCAAGTATATTCATCAACTTTATAGATTTTGACTGAAAGGGTGAGATTTAGCAATTGCCGGGTCCATGCATAACCTAACCTACATAATTGTCAGGTCCTTTCCCTGAATTGTTCAATGGAAACCATTTAGCCATTCCGCCTTTTTTTTATGATCATGTGTAATTGTATAAAGTCAGCGGAGACTGGAGACCAGTCTTAGTAAAATTTATAAAGCAACAGAAAGTGTGACTAACCTTCAACACAAGTCTCAGGATAATTCCCTGATGTTGCTCTGGAACATTTGATATGTTGATTAAAAGATCAGGTGCTATGATTGCCTTATCCTGTTACATAATGTTAACTTTATGTTGTTGGCTTTTGCAGAAAAGTTAAAACAGCTGAGAAAATGAGACATAAATGAAACTGAATAGGATACCTCACTTAGTAGACGCTCAAAGCCCATCTCAACATAAACAATGCAATAGTTTTGAACAACTGTTGAGGTAGATTCAGTGTAGATCCTCCATAGATCCATCATCATTGAAATATCAGGCCTTTGCTTTACCAGTTTGTCAAAGAGACTGCCATTTTCCATAAGCTGATGGAACCAAAAAATAAAAATCGTTTCTATTAAATATCATCGGCTCATCGCCTCATTGACATGAAAATTACTATGTTATAACGCATGCAAAGAACAGATGGAAAATAGTACTAGTACTGCCCTTTTCACCCCCTGAACAGGTTCAGATTATGTAAACAAATGCAAGTAAATCTCGCAACCTAAAGCACAAAGTTCTCTAATCTAATTATAGTGTATAAATAGAAGATTATTTGTACATGCGCGAATTATTCAGATAGTTTCATAGACGCTATTAATCAAATTTCAACGCCGTGTGGACAAATTGTAGCAGTATCATCGCCAACCAAACGATCAACTAAACCAATCGAAGCAGGAAAATTCAACATATACGTATGCATACTAATCCGAATCGACACAGGGCCTGAGGAGTGGTGTACTTACGAGCTCACGGACAGACGCGCCAGGGGAGACGAGCGAAATGGTGGTGTAGGGGAGAAAGCGGCAGAGCAGCGACGCGACGGAGTCTTCGGTGAGGGCCAGCCTCGTCAGCATCCGCTCGAGCGCATCCACCCTCCCCGCGTGGGTCTGACCCGCCGCCGCCGCCGCCGCGGCCGGTGGCGATGGCTCCGCCACCGCCATTCTCCCGACGATGTTGGAGTGTTGGACTCGCACTCGCTGTGTTTCCTTCCGGCGCAAGAAGGTGAGAAGACTAGAAGAGGATGGTCGAATCAGGCACGAATCCGACCGCTTGGGATCGTTGGGCTTGGGCAGCACGGGATTCCGGCCCATTTCGGCATCCCCAAGAGAGATGGATCCGAGAGGATTGGGAAGAAATAATTATCACAAGACTACCCGATTTATAGGATAGAGCAAATTTATTACAGAACTATAGTCCTATAGGTTTGATGTCAATTTATCCTAAAACTACAACGTTTATAGCTCCAACATAATGTTAATACTAGGGATTTAAAATATAGAATACGTAGTTTTGTAATAACTTTAATGTTAAGTATATAGTTTTGTGATAATTTCGAGAGTAAAATACACGGGCTGTCCTTAAACTTGTACGGATATGTCATCAAGGTCTCTAAACTCTCAAAATACATTTTTGAGTCATCGAACTTGTCATAAGTGTCATATAAGTCCAAACGGGTTCCAACCCGCTCCGTGAAATGATGTGGCATGCCACGGTGACGCTTATGGGATCTACATGTTAGTCACATAGAAAAAAAATAAAAGGAGAGGAGAGAGAGAGAGTGAGGAGAAAAATGATGTTTTTAATTTTGAAAAATAAATGAAAAAAGTGAGGAGAAAAAAATGTTCTTAATTTTTTCTATATGTGACTGACGTATGGGTTCTACTGACACATAGGCACCACCATGGCATGCCACGTTAGCACACGGAGTAGGTTGGAGCCCGTTGGACCTATATAACACCCGAGACAAGTTGAGAGATCCAAAAATGTATTTTGAGATTTCAGTGACCTAGGTAACACACCTAGACAAATTTAAGGACCGCTCGTGAACTTTACTCTAATTTCCATATAAAATATGTAGTTTTGTGATACTTGACCTTATAAATCTAGAGTTTTGTGATAAATTTATCGCTAGAACTATGTAGTTTTGTGATGCAAGCTCTTAAACCTGTAGTTTTGTGGTAGTTTGACCAAAATATTTGTTGTTTTCTTAAATTTACTCAAAAAATATTTTTTTAAAAAAAACAGTGAAACCCACATGTAGCTCCTTGCATCATCTTCTTCCACACCTCTCCATATAGTAAAAAAAGAAAAAAAATCAAAAAATACCACTGACAGGCACCCTAATCTAACAAATGTCATCAACGAACCCAACTTTCTAGAAATGCCATCATACAAGCGTCTTTGTCCCGGAAATGGCATCGCAATTAGGTTTCATTAACAACATTCCATTACTTGCTATAAAAAGATTATTTTACCCCTATAAATTGTTAAAAACTTTTGCTCTACCCTTCAGCTTACACTAACTTGTAGGTTGCTCTTTCCACTAAATTATTGTAAGTTGATTGAGAGGCAAAAGTTTTAATCAACTTTCAACAATCCATAGAGTAAAATGGTCTTTTTTAAGTATTTAATGGAGGGTTGCTAACGGAAACCTAACAACGATGGCATTTGTGGGATAAAGACATTTGTACGATGGTATTTTGTAGAAGTTTGGTTCATCAATTGTATTTATTGGATTATGGTGCTTATTAATGAAATTTCTTGGATTTTTTTTAAAAAAAAAACAGTGGTTCAACTAGAAAAACCGGAACCAGTGTCTTGATGGTGGGCAGGGGCGTCCCGGCCAATCGAGTCCCTGTGCAAAATATTAAAATGGGGCCCTAATAGCCTAGTAATTTTTATAGTAAAATTAAAAATGGGCGTGGCGATCAGCCGATCATCAGCGATGAAGTAGAAGCGGAGGCCGGAAGGGATTGGGGAGAGGAGATGAAGCGGCTGCGGCGTCGGGACTTCGGCGATATGCGACGACGTAGACGCCTGGACGGGAGTACGATGGAAGATGGATCGGTTCACCTTCCGCAGCGTTTTGGGCCTTGTTTTACTACTATTTGAACTGCAAATTAACAAAATTAAAGTCTCTAATATTATTATATATAGGACATACTTAATATTTTAGGGACCTTTAAAATTTGGGGCCCTATTCAGTCGCACAGCCCGCACGGGCCCAAGGACGCCCCTATGGTGGGTTCGCTCCAAAGAATGGTCATACACTTGGACAAGTCGAAACCGAACAAACCGGACGGTTTTTATTAATACCAACTAGCCGGACTAGTCCAAAATTCTATCCCAAAATTTTAGTTCCGAGAATCCTAAACAGAATTTGAGATATTAAAATTTTCATCTCTCCAACAAATTAGCAATAATTGGTTTCCTAAAAACAAAAAGGTAAGCCCATAGAAAACTTCCAACAGAAGGGAAAATTGCAAAATAATCCCAGAAGTCACTTGAAGTTTGACATTCTATCCCATAAGTTATTTTATTACAAACACCCACTCCCCTACCCGGTTTTATTGTAAAAACTACCCCATTGCACACATGTTTAATTGAATCAATATGTTTGGGTAAATTGTGAGGCATCAATGTGGTCTGTAGCAAATTAAATACTTCTAAGAATGTAGACTTGACACTTTTTTTTTTGATATTCCACAAATAAATCCCTTCTTTCTATAAAGTTATCATCCACTAACTACAATTAATATCCTAAACCTCAGATAAACTAATAAATTGGCATCCCTTTTGTAGATTATTTTACAAATAAGATAAACTAATAATTATTTTCTGATAACCTTGGCTGAAACTAATTTCTTCTAGAAATTGTTTTGCAAATTGCTTTTAAAAGCAAAAGTCTAATTTCCTCCCTGGTGGGCCTAGCTAGCCCATCGAGACCCAAAACCCTCACGCCTCTTCTTAAAACCTAAAGTCTATTTAAGACCCCATGACCTCCCTTTCTCCTTTTTCTGTCTGTTTTGGCTTACTTGTGAGCCCCTCAATCCGTGTACAAGCACATGATTCGCCGGAGGTGTGTTTCTTTGTATGCCGGCATAATTTCTCCTTCACTTTTGTGTTTATACCTGCATCCAAGTTAATTCTCTAATCCTAATACAACTACATTATTTATTATTGGTATGCGTGTAAGAAATACTAGTTTTCCTTTTATTGATTGTGCTATTTGGCGGTTGAAATTGGTACTTAACGACCGTCAACAGTTGCTTAGTGTGCAACTGAGTGCTCTAGTACTAAGACTTTGGATAAAGAAAGAAGTTTATGTGCAAGGCTAGAGTAGTAATTAATAACTTAGATGTGGTGTCTAGCTTAGAAATTACATTCATATGTTGTGTACTTTACGGAGGTAGGTGGCATGTGGTGACAACCATGTCCGTTCTCGTATTCCTCCACATTCGACTACATCATAGAGCTTAAGGCCGGACTCAGCCTGGCAGATCAGGAGAGAGCCGGTGCTTGAAGAATTCGATAGAGTTTTACCTTTAACTTAATTAATAGGAATCCTCTCTAACCAATTTATCTCAGGTTGTTGTTCTTGATTGAATCTTGATTGTAGATAACACACACATTCTTCCTTCTTTGTGTTCGATACCCTTGGAATACTTCAAGGGAAAGTGCTACAACGATACTTCGACTATGATTGACCTAAAGAACTGTAACTTTTACCTTTAAGGAAACGTTAAAAGCATATGATTTTCAGGTAAAAGTTAAAACCACATGATTTTTCAGGTAAAAGTTAAAACATATGTCTGATCGAGCATAATCCCTACCAGGAAAAAATATTTTTGCAGGTGCCAAAACATGTTTTTGCAAGCGGCCAAAACCTCCACCTGTCCTTAAAGGCTTGTGAAAAATCAACGATTTTTGTTGTCAGGCCCCTTGTTCGACTAGGAAAATAATTTTGGCAGGCGGCTCCGCGGCTACATTAAGCGATCCACGTGCGAAATGTGATTTTTGCAAGCAGGCAGATAAAGCAGACCACATTGAAGATAATTTTGGACCAACAAAATTAAAAAATATTTGAAAATATCCCCAATCAGCTGCTATTTGATAGATCAAGCACAATGCAAATAATCAAATGTCACCACACAAATGAAAAAAATAAGATTCACATATTCCACAGAAATAAAGAGAAAAAAAAAGAAATTATGGATCTGGATCTAGAGGAAGAAGAATAATGAAGGAGCTCTAGAGACCGCCGACGTTGCCCTTCCCGCATGGTCGCTGTCGCCATGCATCACCCTTGCCGCGTGTAGTCATCGTTACCGTCTCCACCAGCTGCCTCCTTGTCACCACTCCTCCTTGTTGAAGAGCTACTGCTGCCGACGGGATTGGAGGAGAGGGGAGGAGCCGATATGTCACCGCCCCTTCTCCTCATTGTCGCTCCTCCTCGTCAAGCCGCCGCAGCTACCGGCCCTCCTCGCCGAGCCGCCACCGCCACAGCCGACTCCCCTCCTCATCGTTGCTCCTCCTCGCCTCGCCACCGCCGCTCCTTGTAGCTAGGCTTATGTGCTCTGAGGAGAGGAAGAGGGAGAGGGTCTGATGGTGAGAGAGAGGGAGAGGGTAAGGTTAGATAGGGAGTGGTTGTGGAGAAGTGGGGATAAGAATAAATGTGTGAATTTATGTTTTAGTAGGTTGTTTGGATGTGGTTTTTGCAGGCGGCAGTATTAGTGGTAAAAATTAAATTTTTGTAGGCGAATGGCTTAAAAGATGGGCCTAAAAAAAATAAGAATATTATAGCACTTAGCTCCTTTAAGCCATCCGCTTGCAAAATCCATTTTCATAGACGGGGAAAAATCGAATCTCTCTTTACATAACTACACATGCAAATAATTATAGCTAAAAATAATGATCCGCGTGTAAAATTTATAAGGCTCGTAGCGCAAAATCCTTTTTTTTATATATAATCGTGAGTTGTATTCTTTGTCCGACTCTCTCTCTCTCTGTCTGTCTTTCTTTTTTAGACTACTAGTCCGACTCGATCAATGCATTAATTATATAATGCAACTACGCTAGCTGCGCCAAGTCCTACTCCGATCCTATGCCGGTGCACGCGCAGATTGCATATATATAAACTACTACTACTACACTCCAGTAGTTTTGGTTAGGTTGGCGCAACCAGGGTTTAACTTACCACCGGTAACCGCGCGGTTACCGCGGTTACCGGGCTTACCGCGGGGGTACGGTAATATAAATACCGTGGTAACCTCCTTAAATACAAATAAATTTTAAAAATAATTTGAATTTTTGATAAATTTTGCATGGTTTTGTACGGTTTTTCACGGTTACCGCGGTTACCGCGCGGTAACCGTGCTTACCGTCAGGGCGCGGTAACCCCGGCCCCGGCGGTAAGGTAAACCCTGGGCGCAACTCCGTAAAAACCAGACTATCGAGGTGTGCCCGCGCGCGCGTGGAAATCGAGTGATCAGCCGGCTCAAGCTCAGCTCAAAGTCAAATTAAGGTACGTGCACGTTAATTAAGTCAAGTTCATCAATGCAACACATACGATGTGTGGAAATCCTTTTCGATCTCAGTATCTCAGGCCCTGGTTAGATCTCACCCTAAAATTTTTCACCCTGTTACATCGAACTTTTAAACACATGCATGAAATATTAAATAAATATAGACTAAAAAAATAAACCTAATTGCTCCATGATTTGACAATATGGTGCTATAGTAAACATTTGACAATGACGGATTAATTAGGCTTAATAAATTCGTCTCGTGGTTTACTGACGGATTCATTAATTAGTTTTTTATTAGTGTCGAACGCCCCATGCGACACCTTATATAATATCCGATGTGACACGCCAAAACTTTACACCCCTGTATCTAAACACCCCCTCGTAGCCCGTCTGTTTACACATCTTCAAAGACACGAGAGATTAAGAGGAGCACGTATTCCCAACCAACCTACCTCGCCGTTCCCTCATCTTTTAAAAACTATAAAATATTTTCTTAAAAAAGAGAGCACGTATTCAATCATTTTGATTTTGAACCACTGCAGTTTTATTTTGATAAAGGATATCAATTTGGTTAATGGTGAAAATTTAGGACCACGATATGTGGTGTTATGTGTCATGTGCTAAACTTATTATGTTCTCGTGTAAATTGGAATATCATAGGTTGGGTTTTATGAAATTTGCTCATTTTTAATAGCTGTTCATCAATTTATTCGCGGTACTAATTTCACTCCTAACCTAATTTCTATTTTTGATTTGAGTTATGATTTCATTTTGATTTGAGGTAAAAAATTATTATGTTTGAGTTGGAAGTATCCGTTGAGTTTGACAAGTTCATAATATGATGCGAAAAGATTTTCGTTGGGAAAAAACTTATAAACTCATCTTTTTTCCTATGCTTATCAGTTAAAATTTGAATTTTTAATCTTAAATTTATAGCTGATTTTTGAGGAGTTTTTTTTATCAAAATTTATTTTTCAGTTTTTGCTTTTAAATCACTAAGAACACGTATATAAAAGTTTAATTTACATATCATTTTTCGTTTGCAATTATATCGTTTCGCTGGGCCGTTATATTTGCGACGGAGGGAATACTACTAGTAGCAGCTTCGTAAATGGAAGAAAATGGCTCCCTATCCGTATCTGTATTATACAGCCTATCAAGCCGAATACACTGGGCTGAATCCAAAACGCATGGGCTTTATTCCGATTCCTTCCCTTTCTTCTTCCTGCTACCAGTCTTCTAACCGTCTTCTAATGGCCATATGGCCTGCGGCCCATGGCATGGCGCTTTGCCACGGCCCAGGCACAGCACGGCCCGACAGTTGGGCCGTGCCGAGGCCGCTGCCTTGTCACGGTGGGCCGGCAGGCATGACACGAAAGTTAGGGAGGAGCAGTAAACTTATTTTCAGACATGTTAGGCCACGTACCAACGAAGAGGGACAGAGAATAGACTTATCCAGCTATATATAAGGCACGGCCCAAAGAGAAGGAACGCAAAGTAGACTTTTTTCATAAAAACCACGACGGACTGTCGTGCCTTCGGGTCGGCCCGGCACGGCCCGATTCTGGGCCGTGGGCAGGCACGGCACGGCCCGATCTACACGTCGGCCCAGACCCGGCGGTGAGGCCATGCCGGGCCGAGCGGCCCATTTAGGCATCTGTTCTACTAGTCGCCTAGGGCTTCCTCCTCCCCCCTAGCCGCCGCTCCAGCCAGCCACACCGCACATAACACACACACTCTCTCTCGCCATGGACACCGCCGATGAGCGGGAGACGCCGATAAGTTGGAGAATCTCTTTCCCATTAGACGCCAAAAGACGAGCAAGAGACGATGCGCTTACAGGAACGCCTCAAAGACCTACGGCTTCAGGAGGAAATTTGGCGTATCCTTTCCAAGATTTGCGCCTATGAGGGGACGGAGACGATCTCGAGTCCGATACCCATCTTAGTTTACTCGACATCAGGCAAGTTTAGTTATATCAGCGCCTTTTTTTTTTCCTACATCCAAATCGGATGTACGCAGCCATCTTGGGGAGGATTCGCCTTCTTATATTTCTCCCTTTTTTTTTTCTATTTAGACCCACAGCTTTGGGAGGCCGCTGTCCGCTACCAGGAGCAAGTCGGTGGGAGAGTAAGATTTCCCCTTCTGTATCTCAAGGTGGACAACGAGTCCGGGAAGGTTGTGGACGTGGGAAAGTACTGGGACGATCGGCACGGCGTGGGAGAACCTAGAGGTCGTTTCAAGTCATTCAAATGGTTGGTGCACTCTCACACTCTCACTACACGCATATTTTATTTGTTCTGATTTTGTCGTCAATGGCCAAGCTAGGATTTGGATATGAGGGGGGGCCGACTTAAATATGATTATGCTAATAAGAAAATAACATGAAAATGTACATATAAAGTTTTAAGGCATATAGGTACGTTAATAGCATAAACATAATTAACGAGTTAATTTTATCCTAACGGCAAAGCCCATACCAATCATTTGTCTCATCTCATCATCGCACCCTCTTACGATCTAGCGGCGAATCACCTAGTTTAACTGTGAGTTCGATTATGGCGCCATGCATGTGCGGATGTGCTGCGATGGCAGGCAGCGACATCGAGACCATCAAATATATTCGCATTGATCATCTAGACCTTATCGTGTTAGCAAGCAGCCAAGCATGATCAGATGATATATTTACTTTAGAGGAAGATATATAGATATATACCGATCGTTAAGACTTGTTCTTTTCATTTACTTTGATCAAGGGCTTTGCAAGCCAGCTATTGGCAATATGGAAATATGGCAGGGGGAGGGGGTGGCGCTAGGTTTTGTTCTTTTCATTTACTTTGATTCCCTGGCTTCGCCCCTGCTTGTCGTTTCCCCAACATATATTAAATCAATCACACACTGTTGACAACAATGTCGGTCTCATTTTGATTAGAATGATTGCCTTTTTTTTATTACCTGCTCTCGTCCAATAAGTGCATTCTTGATGACTGGTCGATGTTCGTCTCATCTTCAGGTTTGCGGACAAGCATAAAATGTTTACGGCTGAAGCTGAAACAGCATCCTCCACCAAATCGACTGCACAACTTCAGCAGCACTCGTATTCAGAGGAGGAAGATTTGACCATGTAAGTTATCTCTTCGTTAAATTTTCTTTTGCTCAAATAAATGTTCACCCTCATTCCCCTACTCTCATTACTGTTGTCCTCTTCAACTAGCTAGCAGCCTCCCAGTTCATTGCCACACCATAGATCCCCAACATTTGTTTCAGAAACATTTCTCCACCATACCACAGATCCCCAATCTTTGTTTTAGAAACATTTCTCCATTTCGCTTCTTCCCCAATATTTGTTTTAGAAACATTTCTCCGCCACACCATAGATCCCCAATATTTGATTCATAAACATTTCTCCATTTCGCTTCATCCTTGGGGTAACCCATTTTATTTAGCTGTTGAAAATCTAAGGTCTAAGGTTTAGATTCTATCAGGCTAGCAAAGGAGGTTTGATTATTTCAGCTTCTGCCACACGTCACGCGTACGTGTATATTGATATCCACTTTTTGCCACATATTTTTATTTTCCTATTTTACTAAAAAGTATTGCTCCTTTTGACTTAATACTAAGTGTTATGATGTTCTTTCCTATTCTCTATTATTATAAAAATTGAAAATGTTTTTGTCGATACTTTGGTACGTCATTCGTGTATGAGTTTGTTTTTAAGTTCGTTCGCTTTTGGAAATACAAATTTATATTTGAGTCGGGGCAGTCGCATAATAATAGAGACTTACAAACCTCTTTAAAACCTCTTTAAAAAAACTTATATGCTAACTTGAGATGATTGGATTCCTAATTACAGCTCATGATTTTCTAGAGAAAATATATATCCAAGCGAATTCTCACAGTGAATTTCACCTTAACTCACAGTGAATTTCACCTTAACTAAACCATATAACAATAATAAAATTAAAATAGCCTTCACCCGTTGCAACGCACGCAACGGGCATTTTTTTCAGTTTACTAAAAAGTATTGCTCCTTTTGGATTACTACTAAGTGTTCTGATGTTTTTGTGTTCAGGTACAAATCCCATCAACAATTACAGGTCTCAGAGGAGAAAGATACAACCATAGAAGAAAACTCAGAGAAAAAGTGGCATGCACGTCTCATAGATGAATACATTCGTGGAATATTGGAAGGGTGCGTTTAATACACTATCCCCTCCTCTTTGAATATGTATTCAATGTTTTTTTAATTAGCGTTTGTTTCATTTTGTTATGTCGTTTTGTTTATTAAGTTCTAGTTTTTAGTTGTGTAATTTTCCTGCTACCAAATAATTGACTTATTTTCTATACACCAAGGCACTGTGGAATATACTATTAATATGTAAGTAAACTTGCATTTTATTATTTCATGAATGAAGTCGCATTTTTTCTTGTATACAGTATAATTAAAATTTCCATATGATGTTTATGTAACCTCACTCTATTTTCCATTTTTGGTTTCCTACACTAGCACAAACTCTATATCTCAACATAGACTATGTAGGTGTTTATCTATTAAAACATATATATCTTTCTCTACGAAGTTGTTGATAGCTTGATTCTTTCAAGAATGATAACTCAGATACGGAGATTGAGGACGATGAGAATGTTCTCTCTAAGAGTCCTGTGGAAGTTGACCCATGTGCTATTGGTCAATTTCAACATTTCAAGGAGATGAATTCTCTCCGTGAAGAATGTGTCACTCCAAACCCTAAGAATGTTGACAGCTCATCAAAAATATCATCGCAACAAGGACATGCCAAATTGGCAGCAGGTTCTTCTAGGTAATTTCTGCACACTGATTGTAAACATGTTCTCTATTTTTGCTACGTAGTGTTTATATCATGGCGTCAAGATTGTAAGTTTGAAGCAATGGGCATATTAGACTGTGTCATTTTAAACATGTTTTTGGTTTAGTTAATGTTTTTTGCATGCTAAAGCTAAACTATGACATTTTTATAATGATGACTAATTTTGGGTTGAAACACAGCTCACACTATAAGGCAGTGGGATATCATGAGTATGCCGATCTAATCAATCGAATAAACAAGGGTGTACAACTCTATTCTAATAGCATGCAAGAACTTTCTCAGAAAGGAACAGGTGGACTTAGTGAAGCGTTCGTGGCATTCAGAAACTATTTTGTAGAAAAGGATGTTTTTGAGGTTTGTATGACACTCATATTCCTTATTCCTTATTTTCATTATTATCACTGCTTATTCTAAGTCGTGTTTGTAGGAAATTGATTACAAATTCGGAGAAATATTGCATCACTGCTCTCGTACTGTGGGAATTAGGAAGATTTATCATCACTATAATTTCACAGTTGAGATGAAAAATGATAAGGACTGTTGGATCCCTAGGGTTTATTTTGCGGAAGTCAAGATGAAGTATGGTTTCAAGTATCGTTTCTGTGCTCCTCTCGAGGCGACTGATGATGGTATGTGTTCTTATCTGTTTTTGCTTATTCAAACTTTGTGGTTCAAACAACAATGTACGCATTTGTGCTATGTGGTTATTAAAAAACATATTTGAAATAAGTTATAACGTTGTGCTTCTAGTTGTATTGAAACTATGTTTAGTCATATTTCTAGTAAAAACATAAGTTGGGATTAGTCTTATTTCCATTCATTTACGTTTTGCTTTTGATTTTTATAAAGGAAAATATCATCCTAAAATGAATTTGCTGCACCAATATTTGAATTGGACTAGTAAAGGACATGAACAAGAACAAGTAGTTTATATAGTTTACACGATAGTTGTGCCCATGTGTTGTGATGGATGATAAAGAAATGTATTATAAGATCCAAAATAAAAATACAGTACATATAATCCTCAAATCTTAAAGTTGTGTATATGACCACATGAGATCAGTTAGCCCCCTACAGTATGCTAATGCAAAAAGAACGTGATTTTTTTTTATAAGAGTAGAGAAATATCACTACACATTACTCTATGTTCAATTCTTTTGTGACTTGATGTCAAAGGATGCTGAGCCTATTTGATAAGGGATAGTCTTGCAGTTGCCCTCTAAAGGTGCATGAGGATTTGCCACTTAATGTCTTGCTGACATATTTTTGATCAAATAATACTTGGCTTAGGCATATATGAATAAATAAATGGTATTGACTTGTGAATAAATAAGTAGTATTGACTTGTTTTCTCATGTCACGAATCTATGTTTTAGTTATCATGTATACGCAAACCAAATATCCTTTTCTCATGTGAAAGGAGGCTTGCATACCAAATATACAAATGACCTGTACCAGCAAAAAACACAAATAAAAGAGAAACATAGCAAAAACATAATTTAGTTTCCCCATATTTGTAAATATATGTAGAGAACTGGGGAATAATCCACTAATTTTCCTTTGAAGTGCTCATTTGTGTTAAGAGGCAAAAAGGTGATAGGGTTTACCTTAATATGCTACATCTAAGTAGGGTTGATTGCTTCAAAGGGTGAAGTAGAGGGTCCTAAATAATGAGCATACCTCCTCTAATGATTAGTATTATTTATGTTCTCTGGGGACCGGAGATAATTTTCATCAGTTTTTACAAGCTTTATGATTATCAATTGCTTTATGATTATCAATTGTGTGATACACATTTCAACCTAACAAGCATGTTTCATGTCTTTAATTCATTGTCTGTAGGTCAATGTTATTCGTGCAAGAACCAAGGTATTGATAAACTCAAGCACCCATCTAGAGGAGGGTACTCAAAAGGTTATGATGGTGCTGTATGCAACCACCTTGGTGAGGATAGTTCTGATGAAGAGGACGAACTTATGTAACCACCTGCTAACTAGCCAGAGCCTTTAGGCATTAGAGCCAGAAGCGAAACTGATCGAGTGGCAGAGAAGCCAAACAGAGAGTTGATACTTAAGCTGTATTTATATAAATTTGTGCCTTCTGTCGGCAAGTTGTGCCAACTTTAGCTATTTATATAAAATTAGTTTGTACAAAGTACTTACGCACACACCTTAGCTTTGCAGCTTCGCTAATTAAGTGCTACCATGTACTTGAGCCATATGTGCTGTATTGGGTATTTTGCAAATTTACATTTATCATATATTTGCATAAAGATGTCTCACTTCTACGTATTTGAATGACACATAAAAATGATGAGATCTAGATTACTTAGTCTCGTACCTGAAAAACTTAATTGATGTAAATACATCGTTTTCCACGTCTGAGCGCTTCCTGAATTGCTAAATGCTACTTATTTTATAAAAATATTTCTATAGAAAATTTATTTTTTCAAAATCATATTATTTTTTTTCAACTTTCAAATAATTAATATTTAATTAATCATGTTCTTCACATCGTTTAAAGTATCTTCTCATTTTAAAAAGAAAAAAAATTGAACTCTAGAAATCAATCAAAGTACTCCCTCCGTCACTTTTAGCTACAATTTGTAGCTAAAAATTGCTACGAATCTCAACATATGCCTGGGTTGTAGTTAGAAGTTGCAATATTTTAAGATGGAGGCAATACTATAAATGATGGAAATATAAAACCTTTTTGCTTCGTGAATTTGATATATATCAATTCTGGCAGTGTCTCACTGTTACGTACAAGTTTATCCTAAATACAAACACATGAAAGTAGCCTGGGAAACAAACAATTAATAGGTGTTTTAAGTTTATTTTCGGGGAAAATATATGTTAGGTTGAAACATCTACTAGATTGCAATGTATACATTTTCAGTATCATTAATTGGTATCATCACTTTGTATTGTACGAAGCCGTTTGGGTCTAATAAACAACCTTGAGTGCACCAAACCGTGATTATAAGTCAACACAAGCTTCATATTAAACTGCTTTTGAACGATTTAATTGAATTCAGACACAAAGTTGAGCACAACCCCTACTCTCCATCCATTGCCACACCAGAAGTTGAACCCTCAGTGAACTTCAGCTCCATCCTGTCTCCTTGTAGAGTTCCATGTTGTGCTTTCCTCTTTCTTATCCTCTGCTTCCACTTAACTCCAACACCTCCATACAATTCCTTGTCTGATCTCTCACCTGAATCTCCCATGTCCATACCAGAATTCTCAATGACCTGATGATCATACAATCTCCTGTCCCTCGAAGAAAACGCCGATGGTGACCGGCTCCAACAGATCATGGCAAGAACAAGGATGAAAACGTAGACACAGAGAGACACCCACACACATAATGTCCATTTCAATGCGCGAACCAGCTCTTTCGTCCATGGAAGCGTCGTCTGCACAACGATCTCTGCTTGGTACACTTGAGGCAAATGCACAGTCATAGCTCTTGGCTGCAGCATCACTCTGATGAGCACAGTTCTCTTGTGCCGGCCATGGCCTTCCCTGTAGTGAAGCAGCTTGAGGTTGGCATCCTGGCTCTCACTGCGAATGCCCATGGTGAGTGGCACGCAGAGAAGCGCGGTTTGTATCAGCCGAACTGGAGAGCTCTTGTATTTGATCAGATATGGCTGTGTGGTTGATGCAATGGTGATCCCACTCGCGGAGATCGCCTCCGATTTAATCTACAGAATGTGAATTTAGAATTTTTAGGATTCAGTAAGATATATAGAAATTTAAATCAGGATATTCTCCCCCAGGTTGATATACTTATCATTTGAACAAGCACAATGGTCTCCAAATAAATAACTTGGACAACTATTTTCTATTAATTATAATATATATAAAAACATCAATAAATATATGATTTTATTGAAGTATTTCTTAGGACTAACGTTAATATATACATATGGTCTCCATATTTCTAAGATAAATATTTTAGATGCTATTCATAATCAGAGTTTTAGAATTTAACAATAGCCTTTTTCAAATGGTCAAATATTATCAACATGGAGCGAGTATTATTTTTTTCTGAACATTTGGATCAGGAATGTAATGAACATATGACTTAGTACCTGGAACACGCCGATGTGGCGGTTGTGGTAGGAATCAGGCAGCAGCAACGCCATGGACACCCTCACGGCGTGGCCGGCCGGCACCGCCGCCGCTGCTCCGCCGCCAAGCGCCACGGCGGCGCTCGGCTGCGCCTCGGTGTAGTCGAAATACAGAGGATGGCGCGCGGTCACCGGCTCCGCGACCCAGTGCCGGACGAGAGCGAAGCCGAGCACGAGGGACACGACGAACGCGGCGGCGAGCACCGCAAACGTGCACGCCGCGGCGAGCAGGCCAGTGGCGGCGCGCCGGAGGAGAGAAGCGACGGCCGCTGGCACGGCGCGCAGCCAGCCGATGAGAGCGGCGACGGGGTAGACGAGGCCGAGGATGGCAGAGGCGACGAGCTCGCCGACGAAGGCGGCCAGCCTGACGAGCCACCCTGCCGGAACGGCGAGGAACAGGAAGACATCGGTGGAGTCAGCTCCGGCGGCTGGGTTTCTTGGCTCGCCGATGTAGAAGCCATCGCCGTCGCCGTCGCCGTCGGAGCTGGAGGCCGCGGCCGGCAAGAAGGGGTAGTCGCGATGGTATTTGGATGTTGAATTCATCAGAGGCTGTGGACGATAGGGAATGGAGCAGACTCGGTCGAAGGTTCACCGTTTCGCTGTAGAGCTGACTAGCTGAGCTGCTGGAGAGTGAAGAGGAGGTACGCGTGGCAGGAGGAGGACACGTGGCACAGTCTCCGTGCATGAAAGTGACCTTGTCATCTTCCTCTTCCTCCATGCGGATCACCGATGGGAATCAATCCTCGTCACCATCCCAGCTCGGCCCATCACTCCCACTTGTCACCATCTTCAACTGCTGGGGATATCCAATTACCCTCATGCTTGGAGATATAAATGAGATGCAAAAGAGATGTTCAAACATTAGTAAAATACAACAATTGTGATGGATATAGCTAGCATGCAACCAAAATGTTATTCGCATTCAGGTTTTAAAATGTTATTCATATTATCCGTTTTATCACTATCTATATACTTCCTCTGTTTCATATTACAAATCGCTTTTACTATTTTCCTATAGAACGACTTACTCCCTCCGTCCTAAATGTTTGATGTCCCTCCGTCCCTAAATGTTTGACGCCATTAACTTTTTTAAACATATTTGACCGTTCGTCTTATTCAAAAAATTTAAGTAATTATTAATTCTTTTTCTATCATTTGATTCATTGTTAAATATACTTTATGTATACATATAGTTTTACATATTTCACAAAAAAATTTTAATAAGACGAACGGTCAAACATATTTAAAAAAGTTAACGGCGTCAAATATCTAAGAACGGAGGGAGTATAATATAGAACGGAGTGAGTATATCGGTATGAGATATTTACAGGAATAGTTTTCCTAAAGGATGTTTACCTTCGAGGAAGTTAGAATTCTTCATCAGTTTCTGCTGTCCTGGTAATAGGTAGTTTGTGCATCGGACAACACCTCTTCCTTTTGGGCCTTCATGCAAATCAATGACGGCATCACGATGATGCTGCCATCGTCTAGATAAAAAATTGGAAGTTTGGTTGAAATTGAAACGATGTGATGGAAAAGTTGAAAGTTTGTGTGTGTGAGAAAGTTTTGATGTGATGGAAAAGTTAGAAGTTTGAAGAAAAAGTTTGGAACTAAACCAGGCCTAAATACCCGGATGTCCTACAACCACTAGAGTTCTTTCTATTCAATTATCATCTGGCAACTCATTTAGCAAGGCTTGGTCTGCATCCTTTGACAGTTTGACTTCGCCCACAGTCCCACCAAGAGTCATGTATTCCATACTGCCCACCCAACCAGACAGCTATTTCTCCAAAGCTCTGCAGAAGAGAAGCAAGCAAGTGATTGTTAATCCGAAAACATACAGAGCTATTAAAACTTCCATGTAACCAGACCAGGTAGTTATTAGTAGGCCCTATCAGGTGAGGAAACACTAGCAAAATCATTTGGTGACTGCTGAGCATCTAGAATAAATTTGACCTCTAAACTTGCAATTGGCAGGGTCCAATATCTCCATAATGCAAATGAGAATTTTTAAAGCATACACAGGATGTTAACGCTGCTGCGATTCTTAACATAAGTCAGAAAGAGGAAATGGACAAATAGTCTAACAAATTCTTTGTTTGAAAGGCATAGTCAATTTCAAGTTTTAGCAATATCTTCATTTCCACATAACAAGGCAGACAATAAGCAATCTGCAGCCCCTTGGACCTGCAATTTATGGTTAGATAAAGCAGGTAATAAACAGATAATAAAACAATGGTACTACTAATTGAAGGCCCTCCAACCAGTCTGGGGTGAAATCCAGCACACTAGCCCCACAATTATAGGGGTGTAAGTGGGTCAGCCGCGAACCGCTTATTTGAACCTACTTATAGGTCAAAATAAGCGGTTTCACGGCTTATTTTAGCCTATAAGTGGGTTTCGCGGGTTAGCCACTTACACCCCTGCACAATTACTCTAGAGAAGAATCCGAAAATACCTTGTATACCAAGTCCTGAAAATGAACAACACGAAACGACACATGAGTTGTGGCCGCGACCTTGGAACTACAAAAATACAAAATCAACAGAAAAGCTTAGCAGTACTACCACCAACCCAACGAAGTGGCAACAAGAGCCTGGCTCACTGCATTGTGTGCAACAACAACAAGCACCGACTTGCCCAGGATCTTCGATCTCCCAGCAGTTGCGACGCGGTGTCCCAGAGCTGATGCAATGGGTAGTGCCCGCCAATGCTGAAGTTGGCCGCATTCTTCAATAGACCCTACAAAATCAGCAATGGACAGATCGACCACTATTGAGGCATTTCCACAAGCACCTGAGGAGCACCCATCAAAGAAACCGGAACTGTTGAGGCATTTGCACAAACACCCAGCAAGCACTCCATCGATCCCGACCTGAAAGGAATAGAGGTCGATCTCCTCTCCCGGAGGTCGGAGTCCGGGATGAGGGCTCTCATCGCGGTCGGCCCAGATGATCTCGGCGGGAGCGGGCGAGCACGTCCAGTGACCTCTCCAGCTCGACCGGCACAGGAAGGAGGCCGGGTCCAGGGGTTGTCATCCGCCGGCGAGGCGGCGAGCGGTGGTCACCGGCGACGGCGGTGGGATTTGGGCAGGATGGCAAATAGTAGTAAATTCACCCATTTCTTCCTAACTTCTTTTTGGCACTACTTCTATTTTGAAGTTACACCCTCTGTTTCATTTTTCATATTTTTATTTTTAAAGTTACTCTCTCCGATTCATTTTCATATTATAAGTCGTTTGATATGAAACGGAGAGAGTATTAATCATCAAGTAAGTCGGCCATTCTATATTTCGCTATTAATAGTGAAACTCATGTTAATTTGTTGAATCACAATTTGGCTTGATATGAAACAGAGAGAGTATTGATCATCAAGTAAGTCGGCCATTCCATATTTCCCTATTAATAGTGAAACTCATGTTATAACTCATGTTAATTTATTGAATCACAATTTGGCAAGGAAAAGTTGTATGCCAGACCCAATGGGCTCGATGCAGTACATGTGAATGTGATGGCAACAATGATACTGCAAATGTATACATTGCAACTTGAATATTTCAACTTAACACATACTCATTGTTTCATTTCTTTCGTATATACTCCCTCCATATTTTAATGTATGACGTTGTTAACTTTGACCAACGTTTGATTATTCGTTTTATTAAAAAAAGATTTATGCAAATATAAAAATATTTATGTCATACTTAAATTCATTTGATGATAAATCAAATCAAAATAAAATAAATGATAATTACATATTTTTTAAATAAGATGAATGATCAAACGTTGATCAAAAAGTCAACGACGTCATAAATAAAAATACGGAGAGAGTATGCTACTCTGTTTTCCTTATTAGTAGTATTTAACCGTGACACTCTACCAGAATTAATACATAATCGTATTTCCATCACTAGTACTGCTTAACAGTGTAGAAAGTATTGTTCCAGAACTGTAAAGTCAAACTCAACCTTAGCTTCCATTTAAGCCAGATTGCATACCAACCATACCTGCTTAATTTTTGTGTACGTCCTGCAAAAACAAAGGTTCCAACTTCTGCAAGTAAATGAAACATTTTGACACAACTAATTATCTTAATTTAAGTGACAATTTGCAAAACACCTGATGTTCTGTTATTTTCAACTCATACTACCGCATAATGGTCTATGTAGACCCACCAGCATAATTAACCATCCATGGCTCTACCCTAATTCCCTTGTCAACTATATTACAGGATATATATTTTTCATATAACAAAATATTTTGAACCTCACTCTCTCCGCCCAAAAAAGATATTTTGAACCCATCTTGGATTGAGATTCCTAAATACTGGGCAAAAAATTGAGTACTCAATTAAACATATGACGTTCTCTCCAAATGTTCCACACGCTACGTAGTACGCCAAAGTTGCTATAGCATCAAGGAATGCAGTCTTTTCTTGACGGATCCCTCTTCGTTCAACATAAATCCATGATATGATGGAAGAAAGATATCCAAATTCAGAAACAAGTCTACGAAGCGTCCTCCAGTCTTCATCTGAACGGTACCTTGGAGATGGATCCTCTAGTGGTCCAAGTGGAGGAATCCTTAATCTGCCAGTGCTAGAGCGGAATGGAGGCATCCTAAATTTACAAAAGGAACACAATATAAATTAGATTACATGGAAATATATGTTTTCTATAAGTTCTGAGAAGAATTAGATATCTCATTGGCAATAATCAACTCATATCACATTGTAATACTGTTTATGGTTATTACCATTCCATATTAAGTTCATGTCCCGCAATATCACACACATACTGAGTACAGTAAGAGCCTACTTGGCAGGACTCAACTCCTAAATTTAACTCCAAAAGCTGGGTCAGTGGAGTTGCGAAGCAACCTGAACCCCGCTCCACCTCTCTAGTTCATTTTGTGAAAGCATTCTAGTCTACTCCGTTCTCTTTTTTAGGTAGAGTTGAAACCATTTGGTTGGGCTCCAACTCTACAAGAGGTGGAATTGAAGCTGGAGCTCGGCCAAACAGACCCTAAATAGGATAAATATCTAGTGATCATTTCCATATGACAAAGCCAGACATATTTTATGAATATTAGCTGTTATAATACATATGAAACGATTTGTTTCGAGAAAGCCATGGGACAATGGTTCTGGGTATAACGAGCCAATGAAATCTTATTTCCTTCGCTGAGTGAGATTGTCCAAGTCCTAACAGGAACAGAAACCACTATCTTAACTTCTGGATTCCTCGGTCCATGTATAAAGGAAAATATGCTAGTGAGTAGTGATACCGAATTTATGTGTGTGACAAGATCTAAGCAACCTTTTCTTACTTGAAAAAAACAATTAAACAAGGTAAGAGAATGCCTTGTGATTTTAAGGTGGTTCAACAACATCAGCATTTGATGATTTTTGTTGAGATATAATACATATAAAATATCCTAGTAACTGAAGGGGACAACAGTGTGATGCCTGAATTGCCAGCAGGTTGTGAGCAGTTGTATGAAGTGTGATCTGTTGAGAAGGAGATGGGGGAATTAACCAAATGTTAACAGAAGTTTTTATAAAGTAGATACAAGAGGAAACAATGTTCCTATCCTCGCCTCCATTAGTCATTTTGTAATACATCTGTTCACATTTAAAAATCATGAGCAGTCTTCTTTTCTGACACCCAACCTACGGTTATGATCATGTGTATTCCATTTATTCTACCTTTACAAACAGTAGATACCATAGTCTGGTTTGAAATACTTATTATGCACTTCTCCAATATACTAACTTTTGAATGTTGTAGAAAAAAAATAAATAATTGCACATATTTATCCTGATATGTAAGCATTGGATACAAAACAGGAACTAAAAGCATGCAGGCAACCAATAGCACTACATAAATAAACCCAGTTCTTAATTGCACTCAAAATTAAACCATAATATGAGCAACATAATTATAATATGTGGAATTTTACAGTCCTTAAAAAAATATCTTGATGTACCTAAAATTTTTAAATACCTTGAGATACTTAGTATTTAGAGGTACTAAATTTTACAATTAAAAATATAGTACCTATTGATACCTTCTTAATAATGGTAAAATTACCTGGGTTTTCTCAGGTCACCTCGGTTTACAGTGCTAGAATGTCTCCCACTTTTTTTTAACGACTCGCACGAGACGGCGCGAAGTTCTATTGATAGAGTAGGAAAAAATTACAAGATTACAACCCTGGAGGGTCGTAACCAGGAAAAAGGAAAAAAATATACCACCACCCACAAACCGACAGCGCCAACACACAAGTCCGAGAGAAGGCTAGCACCGGACCGGCCGCCGCTAAGCGTGACCGACCGCCGCTAGACCAACAATCCACCACCACTCAACCTCTGCCTCCATGTGGGATCACTGCACCGCCGCCCCCCCCCCCCATACCGTGGTGACGGTCGCCACCACCACAGCCACCGCTGCCCTTCCATCCCCACCGCCATCTCACCATCCTCTCGCCCTTTCTCGCCATCATCGAGCTCCGATGGCACACGGCGCAGACCGCCCACCGTGGTAGCCCACGCCGCCGTCGCCGTGAGCTCGTCACCACCATCGCCGCGACAACCAAACTCCTCCGGCGTTGGTTCCGCCGCCGGCGCGGCCAGGTTTGCCTCACCGACGCCATCCCCTTACCACCTCCGCCGCCACCACAGCAGCCGTTGCTACCCTTCCATCCCCGCCGCCATCTCGTCATCCTCTCGCACCTTGTCGCCGTCGTCGAGCTCCGACGACACACGGCGCAGACGGCCCGCCGTAGTAGCCTGCGCCGCTGTCGCTGCGAACTCGTCGCCACCACCGTCGCGACAGCCAGACCTCCGGGCGCTGGATCCGCCGCCGACGCGGCCAGGTTCACCTCATCGACGCCATCCCCTTGCCGCCCTCGCCGTCGTCGCCATCCCCGCCACCAGACGCCGCCGCCGGCCGCCGTCCCGCCAGATCCAGGCGCGGATCTGGCGGTTTCCTCCGCCGCGGCCGCCAACGCCTCGACGCCGCTGCCACCACCACCAGACACCGCCGCCGCACCGCTCAGCCCCGCTGCCGGCTGCTCCACCGCCAGATCCAGTCGGCGGCACGGATCTGGCCGGTTCCGCCACCCTCGAGCAGGTCCCCCTCCCATGCCCGAGCGCGAGGACGAAGCCCCGCCGCCGCCGTCCTTGTGGCTTGGGCGGCGGCGAGGCAGAGGAGGAGGGAAGGGGAGACGAGCGCCGGTGAGGTCGTCACCTCCCGGTCGCCCGTGGGGGAGGGGCGACATGAGAGGAAACAGGTCAATATCCCGATCCTAATGTCTCCCACTAATAATCAACCTGTCAATATGCAACCACAAAAATAAGTATAATCAACCTGAAGCCGATGAACTCTTCACAGCAAGAGCAAATAGATTGTCGCACAACACATCCTAAATTCACCTCACCACTATTCTCCTTTTATCCCCACGTGTGAATTACTGAATTGTGATTAATAAATGAGAATACAAGCTCAAAAAAAATTGATGGGAAAAGACAAATACTACGTGATCTCGGACTAGAATTTGCTGATAGATTCGCGCTACTCATTGTTGGTGGTATTTCATTCACAAAGATTTTTAAGATCTCCTATCATTACGATCTCAGCCCAGGACGTAGCAGGCGGATCACCATGACCAGTTTTTCTTACAAAAAAGAAAAGAAAATCTTATTCGGATCGAATACCTAGGTATCCTTGCTTTTGTTATGGGGGAGGAGACTAACCGGAGACGGGCGCCGTCGCTGTTGTCGTTGCAGCGACACCGCCAAGGCCGAGGAAGTCGGAAGGGGAGGAGGAAGACGAACCGAGGAAGACGAAGGACAAAGGGGCCGAGATTTTATAAGCCTAGTTCGTCGCCTGTTAAAATGTTGGGCCAGGCCGGGCCAAAAGATTACCGAGAGAAAAAGGTCGGAAAAAGTACGTATAAGGTCCCTCATCTTGTCATCCGGTTACAAAATCGTCCCCCAACCACGAAACCAGATATATGCCCGCTGTCGTCATCGGCGTAGCCGCTAGACGCTGACGCCAACGTGGAAGCGGTCTCCTCCGGCTGCCACACCTGACTCCAACCGGTGGAAGAGCCGCGAGTCTCGACCCTCCCCACCACCGCCGCTCGCTGGGCGCTCGATGGTGA